TGGCACATTTATGTTATGGAATACTATCTGGCCACAACGAAGAATAAAATTATGTAATTTGCTGTTCAGAAACTTTTTAGTTTCTCTTCTTGGATTTTTATGGTTTCAGGTCTTTTAGGTCCTTTGTCTATTTTGAGTTGGTTTCTTGGTATAGTGTAAGATACTGATCCAGTGAAGTTTTTTGCATATAGAAATTCAGTTTTCTTGGAACCATTTAGTGAAGAGATGATTTTTTTCCTCATTATGCCCTTTTGGTGCCCTTTTCAAAAAACGGCTAACCATGAATGTTTGGATTTATTTCTGGGAGCTCTATTGTGTTTCACTGGTCTATGTTTCTGTTTCTATGATGGTGCCACACTATACTGATTACTATAGCTTTGTAATATAGTTTTAAATCAGGATGTGTGATGCTCTGTGTTCATTGCAGCATTATTTACAACAGCTAAGATATGGAAACTTAAGCTATATTATGATCCTAGTCACTCTTTTTTTAATCCCTCCTTTTACTTCTTTTCTCTAACCCATCCTTTCTCTCATTCTTTGTTTTCATTATAAATGGAACTACCATATGATCCAGCAATGCCACTATTAGGTATATACCCAAAGGGAAAAAAAAAATCGATATATAGAAGAGATCTCTGCATCCCTGTGTTCACTGAAGCAGTATTCACCACAGCAAAAATGTGGAATCAACCTAAGTATCCACCAGCAGATATATGGATTTGGGAGGCTGAGGCAGGTGAATCACCTGAGGTAAGGAGTTTGAAACCAGCCTGGCCAACATGGAGAAACCCCATTTCTACCAAAAATACAAAATTAACCAGGTATGGTGCTGCATGCCTGTAATCCCAGCTTCTTGGGAGAGGAGACTTAGGCAAGAAAATCACTTGAACCTGGGAGGCAGAGGTTGCAGTGAGCTGAGATTGCGCCACTGCACTGCAGCCTGGGCAACAAGAGTGAAACTCCATCTCAAAAAAAAAAATACAATTTGGTCACACACAAAAATAAAACCCCGCCATTTGAATTAACATGGATGGAACTAGAGGTCATTTTGTTAAATGAAATAAGCCAGGCACAGAAACACAAATGTGTCACTCACGTGCGTCAGCTTAAAAGTTGATCTGTCTCATAGAGGTAGAGTAGAATGATAGTTACCAGAGGCTGGGAAGGGTGTGTGAGTCATGGGGGATGAGCAGAGGCTGGCTGGTGGGTGCAAACATTCAGGTGGGCAGAAGAAATAAGTTAGAATGCTCTACAGCAGAGAGGGAGACTATGGATTATAACAAAGTATTGCACATTTCAAAATAGCTAAAAAAGAGGACTGGAAATGTTCCCAAAACATAAAAATAACAAATACTTGAGGTAATAAATACATGAAGGACCCTGACTTGATTATATTATGTGTTCTATGCATGTAACGAAATATTGCATGTACCCCATAAATATGTATTAAGCACCCGAGTGACAGAGCTAGACTCTGTCTCAAAAAAGCAAAAAAAAAAAGAGGCCGGGTGCGGTGGCTCACGCCTGTAATCCCAGCACTTTGGGAGGCCGAGGTGGGTGGATCACCTGATGTTGGGAGGTCAATACTAGCCTGGTCAACATGGCAAAACCTAGTCTCTTACTAAAAATGCAAAAATTGGCCAGGCATGATGGTGCACACCTGTAATCCCAGCTACTCGGGAGGCTGAGGCAGGAGAATCGCTTGAACCCAGGAGGCGGAGGTTGCAGTGAGCCACGATCACACTACTGCACTCCAGCCTGGGTAACGGAGCAAGATTCCAACTTAAAAAAAAAACAAAAAACAAAAAACTGGTCCAACCTCTCACTCAGTAAAACAATCAAAGATGGCCGACCACTAACAGCTCAGGATTGTAGCTCCCAGTGAAAGCTCAGAGAACGAGACGACGCCACATCATTAGACAAATTTTCGTCACTCACCGATTAGCCGATTCCCAGTGGAGGAGCCCCACGGGTCGCCAGCGCGACTCTTGTGGCCGCCACAGCGGTTTTGCCGGCGTCTCGGCGCAGCAGCTCTTCATGCAGAGCCAACGGGACCACTTCCCCTACTGACCGGAGTTTGGAGCTCCGGGAAGTCAGAGCCGCTTGTTGCGGACTCAAGAGGGAAGCCAGACCAGAGATTCCCGGGCAGAAGAGCACCATCAGTCTTACCGCTGCTATTTAGGCTGCCACAATGGGTTGCTCGGATCCCAGCACTGGGAATCAACAAGTCGGAAGTCGACTCAGAAAACTAATTAGAAAGGCGGTTCATCTACAATGAAGGGAAAAAAACAGCCTAAGAAGGCTGAGTATACTCAAAATCAGAACCCATCAGCAACGGAACAAGCCCTGATGGAAAAGGACTCATCAGTAATGGAACAAGCCCTGATGGAAAAGGTCTCATCAGCAACCGAACAAGCCCTGATGGAAGAGGACTCATCAGTAACGGAACAAGCCCTGATGGAAAAGGACTGTGTTCCATTATCTGAAGTAGGCTTTAAAAGGTGGATGATAAGAAACTTCTGGGAGTTAAAGGAACTTGTTCTAACCCAATGTAAAGAAACTAAGAACTTGGAAAAAAGGTTCGATGAAATGTTGAAAAGAATAGACAATATAGAGAGGAATACAAATGAACTTATGGAGTTGAAAAACACAACACGAGAACTGAGTGAAATATGTACAAGCTTAAACAGCCGAATGGATCAAGCAGAAGAAAGGGTATCAGAGGTCGAAGACCAACTTAATGAAACAAAACGACAAGACAAGAATAGAGAAAAAAGGATAAAAAGGAATGAGCAAAGTCTCCAAGCAATATGGGACTATGTGAAAAGACCTAATATACGCTTGATTGGTGTACCTGAACGTGACGGAGAGAATGAAGTCAAGCTGGAAAATTCTCTCCAGGACATTATCCAGGAAAATTTTCCTAATTTAGCAAAGCAGGACACTATTCAACCCCAGGCAATACAGAGAACACCACAAAGATATTCCTCAAGAAGACCAACCCCAAGGCACATAATCGTTAGATTCACCAAGATCGAAACGAAGGAGAAAATATTAAGGGCAGCCAGAGAGAAAGATCAAGTTACCCATAAAGGTAAGCCTATTAGGCTTACAGCAGATCTCTCAACGGAAACCCTCCAAGCTAGAAGAGAGTGGGGGCCAATATTCAATATACTTAATCAACAGAACTTTCAGCCCAGAATTTCATATCCTGCCAATTTAAGCTTTACATTTGAAGGAAAAATAAAATCTTTTAGGAACAAGCAAGTACTCAGAGATTTTATTACCACCAGGCCTGCTTTACAAGAACTTCTAAAAGAAGCATTATACACAGAAAGGAACAACCAGTATGATCCTTTCTAAAAATACACCAAAAAGTAAAGAGCATTAACATAAAGAAGAATTTTTATCAACAAAAGGACAAAATAGCCAGTTAATATCAAATGGCAGCAACCCTAAAGTTAAATCAACCAAATCTCCCAATCAAAAGATACAGACAAAATCCAACGGTATATCCAAAGATATACATAGACTCAAAATAAAGGGTTGGAAAAAAAAAAACGTACCAACCAAATGGAGAGCAAAAATAAATAAATAAAAAGCAGGAGTTGCAATTTTCACATTTGACAAAATAGATTTCAAAGCTATAAGGATACAAGGGTAAAAGGATTAATGTAACAATAAGAGATCTTAACACCCAGATACATAAGACACATAGTGAGATTTAGATTCAACGAGACAACAAATTGATAACGATATCCAGGATTTGAACTCAGAGCCAGAACAAATAAACACAATAGAGGTCTCCATTTTAAACACATAAAATATGCATTAACCACTTTAAACACTCAAAATATTGATCGGCCATTATTGAAACCCATTTTAGGAATGAAGTAATGTTCCTTTTTCCCTCTTTTTCTTTTTTTCCCCTTCTTTTTCTCTTTTTCCCTAAAAAAAAAAAAAAAAAAACTAAAGTTAAATAAAAAGTTCAGCTCCTCAGTCACCTAAGGCACATTTCCACTGTTCAACATTAGTATGGTAGCTAGTGGGCTATCATTAAGGACAGTGAAAATTCATGAAACATTTCTATCATTGTAGAACCTTCTTTGAACAGTGCTGATCTAAGAGAGAAACAAAAAGGCCTCAAAGATATTCTATCAAGAGACAACATGTTCTTGGCTTGACTGGCCATACCTCATAGGCCATATAATTTTTATTCTGAACCACTAGAGATTTGAAATAGAAAGGGAGTAAGATCTTAAAAGTTTGGTGTGAATCATGAAGCTTAATTTTTTTCAGTAAAGACACCTTCTCTTAGGGGTAAATAAAAAAAAAAAAAAAATCAGCAAGCAGTTATCCAACCATTTGCTAAATAACTTCATTGGAAAATTATTTATTGTTAGCACATAATTCTGCAGATACATCCATCAAAACAGCACTGTTCCTCTCACTTACTGGGAGATTCAGAAGCTTTACTTTGAGTTTCTTTGGTGTTAAATAGAAATAGTCTTTTGCGCTACTGACGAGCTTGTCGGACTCGAAGAACATGTAACAATTTTCTAAACCACCATTGATATTTAACTCCAATTAGTATAAATGCTAATTCTTGGGAGGCTGAGGCGGGTGAATCACAAGGTCAAGAGATCGGGACCATCCTGGCCAACATGGTGAAACCCCGTCTCTACTAAAAATACAAAAAATTAGCTGGGCATGGTGGTGCGTGCCTGTAATCCCAGCTACTCAGGAGGCTGAGGCAGGAGAATTGCCTGAACCCAGGAGGCGGAGGTTGCGGTGAGCCAAGATTGCCATTGCACTCCAGCCTGGGTAACCAGAGCGAAACTCCATCTCAAAAAAAGAAAAAAGCTAATTCATGCCCAAGCACAACCAACAAGACTTTATCATCTATGCCTACATCAGTTTACCGAGTCCATATTTTGAAGCTATATGGTCTTACTGAAGTACAAACTGCAGAGTTCCATTTGAAAGATATACTTAACTGTGTCTCCGTCAGCAGGTGTCTGTGTGCGCATACACATTTTTCTTTCTGCCATGCCACACTAAAAGAGCTGGAAATAAAAATATAAGCATTTTTAAAAATTACTGACAAAAGCTGTATTCTTCCTATATAATTTAGATCAATCGGGGGGCATAATATAGGTATTTTCATAAGTTTTGCTTTTTATTTCCCACTATGGATCTGTTTCAAACTGCAGCTGTCTTGCTAGGTGGGCTTCCATTTGATGAGCAATATGTAATATTCAACTTCTAATGTAGAGTAATACATTTAACCATAGGCACACAAAAGCATCTTAAAGTTAAATACCCTTTGCAAATCAAGAGGATAAGAGCATTTTTCTTCTTCTTCCTTGTTTTTTTTTTTTTTTTTAAGACAGAGAGTCTCACTCTGTCACCCAGGCTGGAGTGCAGTGGCACGATCTCAGCTCACTGCAACCTCCACCTCCTGGGTTCAAGTGATCCTCCTGCCTCAGCCTCCTGAGTAGCTGGAATTATGGGTGTGCGCCACCACATCCAGCTAATTTTTTTATTTTTGGTAGAGATGGGGTTTCACCATGTTAGCCAGAATGGTCTTTTTTTTTTCTTTTTTTTTTTTTTTTTTTCAGGATGGTCTTGATCTCCTGACCTCTGAGAACTCCTCTTCTTTAAATGACTCTATGGTCATAAGAAAAGAAGTAGGAATTTTTGCTTTAGAAATGTTTTTTAAAAAAAAAAAAAAAAAAAAAAAAGCAAGACACACTCATAAGCACTTAACTTCCCAGAGGAGGCTTGGGTATTCACCTTTACCCGCTGAAAACGGATTGTGAAAGCAGACCTTATAAAATCAAACAAGTCCTTTAGCCACTGAACTAAGACAATGATAATTCTCATTTACGAAGCATCTATTATGCACCTAGCATTGTGCTAAGAGTTTATGTTTTTTATTTACTTCCGTTAGTCCTCGCAGTAAATCTGAGATATATGTATTTTCATTGCCATAGGCCAGGTGAAAAAAATTCAGACCCAGAAAGATGAAGTAACTTACTTTCCCAAGGATTCAGCTGTTCAGTAGACGCAGGTCCTAACTTATTCCAAGCTGGTGTCCTTTCTACTGTCCCCAGTGATAGACCGAATAAATATTCACTGTTTGTAACAGTTGGGAACAGGGAGGAGAGGCACAAGAGAGCGTGCCGTGCTGATCTCCACGCCGAGCTGCCTGAGAAGGCCACGCTGCCCTGCTTTTGAACGCAGCACAGAGAGGCTGAGAATATAAAGGAAATCTTATATATTTGTAAAGTAAGTATTTGAAATATTTGAGAAGCAAACAGAAGCAACGAATGGCTGTGTGCCGTGATTTCTTCACTCGCTCTGTCCTGGGGATTACTGCACTTTAGTATACAAATGTATCTCATTTACCCTGAAATTAAACAAGGTTTTCTGATACAGAGTTCTGTTTTGTGGTGTGGTTTGCTTTAATCCAGTATATACAAAGGGTTTTTTTGTTTGTTTGTTTGTTTGTTTTGAGATGGAATTTTGCTCTTGTTACCCAGGCTGGAGTGCAATGGCATGATCTCGGCTCACCGCAACCTCCGCCTCCTGGGTTCGGGCAATTCTCCTGCCTCAGCCTCCCGAGTAGCTGGGATTACAGGCACACACCACCGTGCCCAGCTAATTTTTTGTATTTTTAGTAGAGACGGGGTTTCACCATGTTGACCAGGATGGTCTCGATCTCTTGACCTCATGATCCACCCGCCTCGGCCTCCCAAAGTGCTGGGATTACAGGCACATGCAACAATGCCCAGCTAATTTTTCGTATTTTTAGTAGAGACGGGGTTTCACCATGTTGACCAGGATGGTCTCGATCTCTTGACCTCGTGATCCACCCGCCTCGGCCTCCCAAAGTGCTGGGATTACAGGCGTGAGCCACCGCGCCCGGCGGGAGCTCCTTTTTAAATGGAACATTATTAATTTCATGTACAACTGACAGACACTGATGATTTAAATTTGGGGATTTCTAAGACAGATTCTTGAAAATGAATGAAGTGTGGTTTGTAGCATCAGGAAACATCACAAAGCCAGGAGAGGTGGATCCTGTCATCCTAGCGCTTTGGGAAGCTGAATCAGGAGAACTGCTTGAGCCCAGGAGTCTGAAACCAGCATGGTCAACCTAGCGGCCAGGTCTCTACAAAAGAAAAATTTAAAAATTAGCCAGGCAGGGTGGTAGGTGCCTGTAGTCCCAGCTACTTGGGAGACTGAGGCAGAATGATTGCTGGGGGCCCCGAGTGTGAGGCTACAGTGAGCTGTGATCGCGCCGTTGCACTCCAAAGCAGGACGACAGAGTGAGACCCTGTCTGAAAAAGAATGAATAAATGAAAAGAAAACTAACTCAAAATATACTGCTCTAAATAATAAAATTTACATTTTTGCAAATTTTGTAGTTTGAGCTTTACAGCTAAAACCAGAGTTTTTAGAGAATTGTATCAACCATCGTGACCTTGAGAGCTTCCCAACATGAAAAAACGTTTCTAAAAACATCGGTGGCGACGGTAACAATGCCAGTGTTTGATAGAAGGAGATGCGTCGACGTTAAAGAGATGAAGGGTTCTCAGCCTCCACCCTGTTAACATCCTGGTCTGTGGAACTCTCTGCTCCGAAGACAGCTCAGTGCACCAGGGGGTGCTCAGCTGCATCTCTGGTCTCTGCCCCCTAGATGTCACTAGCAACCCCCAAGGGTGGCAGCTGATCGCTCCAGACAGAGCAAATAACTCCCAGCTAAGAACCACTCAATTAGGTAACTCAGTAAGCAGGTGTCTCTCTCTCCCTATCTCTTCCTTTCTCTCTTCCTTTCTTCCTTTCTTGCTCACTTTTTCTTTCTCTCTTTCTTTCCTTCCTTCTTTCTCTCTTTCTTCTTCCTTTCTTTTTTCTATCCTTCCTTCCTTCCTCTTTCTTCCTCTCTCTCTCTTTCTTTCTCTCTCTTTTTCTTTCTTTCTCTCTCTTCTTTCTTTCTCTGCTGCCCAGGCTGGAAAACAGTGACTCAATCTCAGCTCACTGCAATCTCCACTTTCCAGGTTCAAGTGATTCTCCTATCTCAGCCTCCCAAATAACTAAGACTACAGGCATGTACCGCCACATATGGCTATTTGTGTTTTTAGTAGAGGTGGAGTTTCACCATGTTGGCCAGGCTGGTCTCAAACCCCTGACGTCAGGTGATCCACCTGCCTCAGCCTCCCAAAGTGCTAGGTTTACAGGCATGAGCCACCTCACCTGGCCAACAGATGTCTTTCACATGACCAATGACTGACGTCACAAAGATATACATGAATTCACCACCCATTTGAAGAGTCAGACAGACCAGATTGTTTTTTAATTTTATTATACATTGACAAAGTATCATTGTATATATTTATGGGTACAAAGTGATGTCATAAATTTTTAGTACAAAATGAAGTGACTCAATCAAATTAACATATTCATAACCTAAAATATTCAACATTTTTTGAAGTGAGAACATTTGAAATTTACTGCCTTAGTAATTTTGAAATGGACAGTGCACAATCTTTTTTTCTTTGAGGCACAGTTTCGTTCTTTTTTTTTTTTTTTTTTTGAGACGGAGTTTCACGCTTGTCACCCAGGCTGGAGTGCAATGGCACGATCTCGGCTCACCGCAACCTCCGCCTCCCAGGGTCAAGCGATTCTCCTGCCTCAGTCTCCCAAGTAGTTGGAATTACAGGCGTGGGCCACCACATCCAGCTAATTTTTTGAATTTTTAGTAGAGACGGGGTTTCACCATGTTAGTCAGGCTGGTCTCAAACTCCTGACCTCAGGTGATCCATCCACCTTGGCCTCCCAAAATGCTGGGATTACAGGCGTGAGCCGCCGCGCCTGGCTGACGACAGTACACAATTATTAAGTATATTCGTCAACCTGTGCAATAGATCTCAAAAAATCCAAACGTATTTCTCCTATTTAACTGAGGCCCTGTAACCTTCAATCGTCATTTCCCGGCTCCTACCAGGATACCCTCTGCTTCTGAGTCCCACTGCTTTAGTCTTCATGTATGTGAGAACATGCGGTGTCTGTCTTTTGGAATTTGCCTCATTTCACTTAGCAGAACATTCTCCAGTGCCATCCACATTGCTGCAGATGACGGAATCTCCTCCTCCGTGAAGGCTTAATAGTATTCCATGCTGTAGATGGACATTTTCTCTCTCCATCTGTACATTAATGGACACTTAGGCTAATTCCGTGACTTCGTTTTGTAACCAGTGCTGCAGTACACATGAGCGCACAGACTTGTCTTTGTCACACTAATTTAAATGTAACAAAAAGCGTATGGGTACAGTTGCAGATTTCACATCGCAACTAATCCTGTCCAGTTTTGCTGGACTATCAAAGCATGAAATTCACAATCATATCAGAAAATTGCTGATTCCTGTTTCCAACTACATATTTGTATGAAGCCAGATTTTCTTCAGAAACATTAATCAAAACAACGTATTTCAAGAGATTAAATGTAGAGGCAGATATGAGAATTCAGCTGTCCTTTTTCTTTGTACTTTTTTTATTGTGGTAAAATAGACATAACATAAAATATACCATTTTAGGCCGGGCGTGGTGGCTCAAGCCTGTAATCCCAGCACTTTGGGAGGCCGAGGTGGGGGGATCAGGAGGTCAAGAGATCGAGACCATCCTGGTCAACATGGTGAAACCCCGTCTCTACTAAAAATACAAAAAATTAGCTGGGCATGGTGGCGCCTGCCTGTAATCCCAGCTACGCAGGAGGCTGAGGCAGGAGAATTGCCTGAACCCAGGAGGCGGAGGTTGCGGTGAGCCGAGATCGCGCCATTGCACTCCAGCCTGGGTAACAAGAGCGAAACTCCGTCTCAAAAAAAAAAAAAATACCATTTTAGTCTTTTTTGTTTCTTTCGCCCTTGTTGCCCTGGCTGGAGTGCAATGGCGTGATCTCCTCTCACCACAACCTCCGCCTCCAAGGTTCAAGCGATTCTGCCACCTCAGCCACTCAATTAGCTGGGATTACAGGCACCTACCACGATGTCCAGCTAATTTTTGTATTTTTTAGTAGAGGCAAGGTTTCGCCATGGTGTCCAGGCTAGTCACAAACTCCTGACCTCAGGTGATCCACCTGCCTGGTCTCCCAAAGTGCTGGGATTATTGGCATGAGCCACTATGCCTGCCCCCACCCCCTGCTCTTACAGATTATTTAAATCCTATACTGCCTTGGATACTTATTTTAATTTGTTTGATTGATTGATTCATTGAGATGAAGTCTCGCTCTTGTCACCCAGACTGGAGTGCAGTGGCACAATCTCAGCTCATTGCAGCCTTCACCTCCTGGTTTCAAGCAATTCTCCTGCCTCAGCGTCCTGAGTAGCTGGGATTACAGGCATGTGCTGCCACACCAGCTAATTTTTGTATTTTTAGTAGAGACAGGGTTTCACCGTGTTGGCCGGGATGGTCTTGATCTCCTGACCTCATGATCCGCCCACCTCAGCCTCCCAAAGCCTTGAGATATTTTAATATTTCACTACGCCTTAATGTTTCTAGCCAATCAAAAGAACTCTCAGCTGGCAACAAATGTCAGAACTCCAGAGCCAGAAGTCACCAAACGGCAAATTGTTTTTCCTGGTGTTCCACTCCTGCCTCTGAGAGAAGCAGGTGCATTCCAGCCTCAAATCCAACGCCGTTCCTAAGAGGGTGGAGAGGGTTGGGAGAAGGAAGCCCCCAGAGTGGAGACGACCTAAAAGATGGGACATGAGGAGACAGGGTTCACTTTATCTGGGTGCTGGGGATTCTATTTCCAGTGAAATTCTTTTTCCGTTTGACAGAATCATACTGAGATAATAGATATCGAAGCTGTGTGGTGGTGAACTCTGACGTGACAAGCCAGTGGAACTGACACAGAGACTGTGTCTCCTCAAATCCCACGGGGTGGGAGGAGAACTGAAGAAGTGGCTCCAGGATACTTACACCCACCCGTGGGATTTGACCACAGTCCTTTCAGAGGTGGCTGGAACAAGAGCTGATGTAGAGATGTAAGGACTGGGCTGAGCACAGCGGCTCACTCCTGTAATCTTAGCACTTTGGGACGCTGAGGCAGGAGGATCACTTGAAGGCAGGAGCTCAAGACCAGCCTGGGCAATATGGCAAGCCCCTCATCTCTACAAAAAGTTTTTAAAACTACCCATGCAGAGCGGCTCATGCCTGTA